GAATATAAAGATGAATTATTTAAAACAGGCAGTTAAAGAAGGGTCAAGGACAGAGGACCTTATTTCTACCATAAATGTTCTGTATTTCAGGTCGAGACGACGCCCTGCACCACAGAATGAGACCTTTCTTCTTCGCTTGTTCAGGTGAAAGTCTTCACTACTTTACTATTTCTGGCATCCTGGATTAGAGGTTTTCCATTGGACAGCAGCCACTATGCTAGACCAGACAGTGACCTCTGGCTGTCACCAATGAGGGATTTAGAGACCATTATTGAAGTTTTTTTTTTTAATTTATTATTTACTGTTTAATTTATTTTGGAGGGGAAGGTTGCTGAGGTCATAATGGGATGAGAAGAAACTGTGTTGTCAAATAGACGATGGATGAAATTCATTAGCTGATCAATTGCCTTTCTGTAATGTAAATCTGTGGTTCAGTGGCTGCAAGAGGAGCACCCTCTGGGACGTTTACAGCCTTACACCTGAAAAGTTGTCTTTTTTTTCAGCAAACTTTGAGCCAGGTGAGAAGTTTCAGTACAGAGGAAGCAGCTGAACCATTTGGGATGATGACTCACGCTTTCCAAACAGATACAAATACAGGGCCAGCTATTTACAACAAAACCGCAGCAACCTTTTTGTGGTGCCAGCTGGATGGAGTTTACTTATATTAGTTTCCGCTTCAGGATACAACGGTTCAAATTGGTGCCTTTCAGTCATAAACAAGTAAAGAAATAAATGTGCTGATATGAATGATCAGTTTGCAATAACAATAATCTTCTACAGCTACTGAAATATAGACCATCGGCTACATCAGTGCTTCTTCTAGAGTTTTCTAACGTCTAAGCTGCACCAGTGCGTAGTGTGAAAAATAACTCTTAATAGGCAGAATAATATCCTCCTCTCACAGCAGTAAAATACTGGAAACGAGGAAGGGGCTGGCTGACTTTGGGGGCCAGTAAAAAACAAAATTGACACATACATACATTGAGGATATATGAATTAGGGGAACCGTGGGTGTTTGGCCAGAACATCTCGTCATTTCTCCCCCCATAAATATGAAATTAAATGTCAGTGACAGAGCTGGACCCGCTCCCTGCAGGGGAAGTTACTTGTTCTGCCAGACCACTGTGGCTCTCACAGTCACTGCCAACACTTTTATTGTGGTTGATTGGGGCGACCTTTTGACCTCCTGCAAATTACAGTGACCCATGCCAATGTTTTACTCCCCCAACACGATCACCCACATTTCAGGAAAGTATATTGACAGTACTTCTTTCACCGTACACTTTGGACCACACAAAAACATAATGATAGATAGACAAACAACAAACATATAAATAATTTACCTCAAATACAAATAGTAGTGAGTGACAGCCAGTTGTCATATCACAACCTGCGTTCCCTCTGTGAGTGTGCACCCCTGCTCCCAGTTCCCTCATTAGATTCCCAGTATATATACTGTACCTATAGTCTTTAGCAATTATTCTCTGAAGTTTCGTCTATTGTGCCAACCCAGCTGCAACACTCCATCCTTTTGTCGTCTTGTTTCCGCCTGCCTTTTTGGATTTCTTGCTTGCCTGTTTGGTCCTTTTGGTTTTTGTTGCTGATCCCTGCTTTGAACAATGACAGTTTGTCTATGAGTTGTGGATGAGTCCACTGCCTGTTTTACTGAGGGATTTTAATGAGTTTCCACATCTTTCAACAAAGTAAGTAAACTTAAAGCTGCTCTTATCAATATTTCTTACATTAAAAATGTTCTACCAGAAGTGTAACACATAGTTTCCCATTGTTTACAAGACGCTGGTGAACACAGTGGAGCATTTATCAGCTGGTGGAAACCAGAGCAGATTAAAAAGGAAAGCAGATATTATATGCCAGGTGAAATAAATGCTGAAGTTGCTCTGTGCCTGCTGGATAATCATCAAATCTTTGCCATCACAAGCAATATGAGCTGTTAATATGTATAATGTTATGGTTACAGTTTGTTGCACTGCTTCCAAGTGGCCAAAATCCAACTAATGAACGATAAAATTAACAGCAATCCAAGTTGTACACTCATGAAGGAGTTCAAGTAAGGGTTTCTGGTATAAATTGTGTTTTTACAACACAGTAAATGCTGTGACTATTTTCTCTGGCAATAATTTTCTCTACAATAAAACTGTTACTGTTAAGGCTGGATTACCAACTGGGCAAAGCCCAGGAGTCCAGAAAGATAAATTCACTCCATATCATTCAGGGCTATATGAGTTACTTGATTGCAATTTTGTGAGAAATTTGCACCACTGAATATCAGCTGTGACAGGCCCTCCATCCTCCATCTTGTAGCCCTTGTGTTTTCAAATTCCCCAAAGATGTTGAGTTTACTATCATAGAAAACTTTTCACATTTGAGAAGATGGAACAGATACATTTTTGGTATTTTTTGATTAATTAATTATTTAAATTGTTGCCAATTAATTTTCGGTCAAGTAATGAACTTGTAATTTCTGGTCCAGCGTAGCTTACTGGTTGGTTTGTGGGTCCCTGAGGAAATACTAAAACTGACATGTGCAAAGGTCAATAGGGGCCCAACAACAAACCCCTGCCCCAGGGCCCCTTGGAGGTTAATCCAACCATGCTTACTATGTAAACTGCTCTAACATAAATAATATGAAGCATAAATTAAAATAATCCTGTAACTGTCAGTGTTCAGCTTCCTCACTGAGTAAATTCAAGGGCCCTGCACACCTACACAGGTGTTTTCACTCATTTGTGAGCAGAGCGAACATATTGTGAGAATAATTGAAAACACCTGTGTGGGTGAGCCATGTGGGGTTTTTGATGGTTTGTAGTTGCTACTCTGCTTGATTTGCGCAGGTATTCTAGAAATAACTCAACATAGGAAAAGATAATGACACTTCTCTTTTACAGTCCGGTGTCATTCTTAAAGAAAAAAAAAGACGTGAATCTGTTAAGATTTAATTAAAGGTTTGTATAGATGTGGTTTCACAGTGTGAATTACTAAAACTTTAGGGGCTATTATAAAGTCTTGCAGTGCAGCTGTAATGTTAATTTGCTATTATAACAACTTTATATTGTGGTACAGAATAGTACATAGAAAAAGCAGGCGTTTCCACATACTGTAAGCGAGTCTGCAGACAGCTCCTGTTCAGGTGGTGGATTCAACAGTTCTTCAGTCACAAACAAACTTCAAAGCAAACTCCAGACACCAGTTTTGACTTGAATAACTTTAATAATCCACAACAAACGGTAGCGACACATTCTTCTTTTACAATGCATTTTACAATCATATTAGAACAAAGGCTCTCACCACAGCCAGACTAATTTGCTTTGTACAGATGCATTTCAGTGCATTAAATATCATGAGCACTCTCTCGTCTTCGGCTGAAATTAAGAAAAAATGTGCTAATTTAAACAGACACTGAAAGCCTTCAGTCCAAGCCCTTGTCTCTATTATATCTCTGTGAAGCTTCTAGAAAGAATTCCTGCGCCACCTAGTGTTGAAACACCTGAGGCTGCACATTCTGTATAACTGCATGTACAATGAACTCTTGTTACCTAATTTAACCTTTGCACAATTACCATCCAAGAGTCAGAACTTCAATAAAAATACTAAGTTTTGTTTTCATTATGGGACTTTTTTGTGAGTGAAACAATTGTTGAATGTCTTTTTAGTGGTAAATCTCATAAATATAAATAGCACAAGATATCAGCTTCTCTTTTTGTGATCTACGTTTGAGTAAAAAATGGAAATAGAATACAGTAAATTTTCATCTAATCCATGAAAGACATACTGTTTTCAAACCCTCTCTATCACCTGCAACCAAAAAGTCTTTCTGAAGATCGCAGTGTTTACATCTTTACTGGATTAGGACCATTGTCAGCATGCTACTTCCAGTAAGCGCTGACTGTACAGCACAGTGGAAGCTGAGTCACAGACCAGATGGAGGCTCTGATCTGTAATGAGTGGAAACCTGGCTAAACTATAGACATAGCTCACAAACACTGAGCCAAGTCCTAAACTAAGTAGTTTTTAAACTGAAAATGTAGTACTTAGGTTTTGAAATGTGTTGGACATTTAATGTGCTGTAAATGTAGTTCATTTAGTTAATTCAAACGGAATAATAATAATGTATTTCGAAAGAGAAATGCAGCCATTTAACTGGATGAAAGTATTCATAGTTTTGCTTCACTTTGCAGCAGACTTTCCTGACTTGGCAAAAGGGCCAATAAAAAGATTTATCTTCTACTTTGGCTTTTATAGTTGTGACCCTTGCACTCCAGCCTCCTCCTTAATAGTTACTAAATGTTTTACTGCTGTTTCATGATTTTAATCCATTGTTGAGAACTAAGTTTGGGTTGCAAAGTTTTAACAAGTCACTGTAGCCAGTCTTCATCCTCCAGCAGGACACTTTGTCCTTTTTAGCTCTGTAGTTTATTTTGGAGCCTCCAATGGCGCATTTAACCTCTGACCCTCTGAAAAGGGCTGGAGGCCATCAAGACAACAACCCATGTATTTACTGATACTTACAGCTGCAAATTTTATAGATCATTAAACAAAAAGTATTTGTAATTGTCATTTATAATTGCATGCAAATGACTTACTAATTTTTACTGATGCTTATTAGAAAGTGAGAAAATTATGACCCTTTATTAGTGACTTATTTACATTTATACCTGCAGATCTGATGGCTAAGAGGTGAGAAGTTCATGAGCATTTTCAGTTATTTGACTATTAATTTCACAATAGATTTTTTTCTACAACATGACAACCCAAAGGTTGCTCTCATTAATGGCTTATAGATGATAAAGAAAAGAACATTGCTAAACCCAGCCTTTATAAATGGTAACTCATTGTATGAGAAAAAGGTGCCGACCAGGGATTATTATACATCTCAGTGCTTTAGCACATAAATAACTGAAATGAGACACTGCGGAAAAATCTTAGTATTTTGTTGTTGTTTAGTAAAGAAAGACCTTACATGACAAAGTATTTGACAACAAAGGCACAACCAAGCATGAACATGTTGGTGGTTTTATGAATGAAATCTATGACTTTCCGGTAATTACTGTAGGGAATTATCAGACAGATCAATTGCTTGAATGATAGGTTGACAAAAAAATTGGAAATTTTTCTAATCAAACATCGTCATATTTATTTTAAGCCTGTAACATCGATGCTTCACTCAATTAATTTACATCACAATGTCTGGTACCACTATCATTTGATCACGTTAATTACTGTAGAATAAACATAGCCTCAGATGTTAGAAATGAATATATCTCCTTGTGAAACAGATTCTTATTCTTGTTGGTTGCTCCGCTGAAGATGTTCAGCCTGCAAAAACAAAACACAAGATACAGGAAGTGACACCTTCTGTATTAATTCACTGATGTTCAATAAAGACAGTTCTGTTCAATATAAATACTGAGGAGTACCAAGAAGTCGACGGGGTCCTCCGGTTTGATCTTGCTGCACTCGATCATGGCCTCAGTGAGCGAGGGCATCACATACTTCATCAGGTAGTTCCTCAGAGGAAGACAGTGAGCTTCCAGCAGCTCGTGCTCCTGTCTCTTCACCTCGGACAAATTCTTCTGCTAATAAATGATGAACTAATTGAATTGATGGTTACATCATTTATACCTATTTGCTCCCATAAAAATCAACATATTGGATTGAATTTTGGTTGTTTCCTGGAAAGAACCATGAAATTTGGTACTAATCAGTGAGAATAGAGACAGTGTTCAATTGGCACACTTCCAGTTTCAATTAAATGCTCGTGCTACCTAGTGTGTCTGCATGTATGTATCTTAAGCCAGGGAAACAATTCAGTATATGTGCAGTAGATAGTAAAGTTTCCAATAATAAATGAATAATTAATGAATATTTCTTGCATCTTCTAAAAGACTACTTGGCTGATTTGTGATTAAGGGAATTGCCAGCCAGCAGCTTTAAGTATGCACTGGTTTTATTTACTCTAAAACTTGTACTACTGTACCGTTACACCTTGCTTAGCCCAGTGTAGCATGACAATCAGAGCTCATCATTGTCATCTGTGAACAACACAGCTTCTCTCATCTTACCCACTCCTCATACTGAGCAGCCATCTCAGCCAGCGCAGCCTCATTCCTGCGTTTCTTCTCAGCAGCGTCTGCAGCCAGTTTCTGCTTCCTCTCTTCTTCTTTCTTTCTGTCCTCCTCCTCCTGCTCCTCTGGGCTCAGGCCATAGTTTTTGGGAATCCCAACCATCTCAGTGATTTTCTTCATAACATCTGTGTAGTCTGGATCATCTGTAGTAACCTCTGGAGAGGAACAAGACACACTTAGTGTAAAGAAACAGAACCATGGTGGTTCACACACCCAAAACCCTCATCTTTTCAACATTTTCATTTTCTACATCTGAGGTATTTTTAAATATTCTTCATGGCTTGTCATTTATGAATTCTGCAATAATCTGTCTTTCTTGTCTGTGGTCTAAATCCCGGCATCCCCTGACATACACCATGCTGCTTTGAGGACAGTACCGATGTATTCTGGGTGAATCTCCAGCTCATCAAAGTAGTCCAGCAGGGTTTCCTCAGCAGTGCTGAGTTGTCTGTATCTCATCAGGCGAGGGAGGAATTCATCCTGGGTGCAACGCATTTTCTCTGCAACGCGTTCTGGAAGTCCTTGAACTCTTTTCGTCAGGAAATCATCAGATGCTTCTAAGGCAATAACATGCTCTGCAAAACATTAAACATGTGGGATAATACAGTGCTTTAGTCAGTTTAGCAAGTTGGTTCTGAAACTAAGATCCAATTCTTATTATTAGTTTGTAGTGGAGTGTTTTACTGACCTGGAGTGATCTTTGTGTTGTACACAGGTGTTTTAACCATCGTATCCTGGTTCTCTGTGTCCTCATCTGAACAATAAAAGCACACCATACACATGTGAGCAATAAATACTATTAATAGTAAAACAGTATCAAAATCAATGGCTGAAACTTACCCATAAAAATCATCTTTGCTTGCTCGTAGGTCTTAGGAAAGCCATCCAGAACAAATCCTTGGTTCCTACACGGCTTTGAATTCAGCTTTTCTTGCAAAATGTCAAAAACCAGATGGTCAGCCAGTCGACCTGATGGATCAGGAGACTGGATTAAAAAGTAAGAAACTAACAGGCACTCAGACACCTATTATAACCAATATCAATCTATAAACTGTCCAAAAAACAGCTTTATCAAGTCCCACATAATCTCAGCAAAATGGCCTTTGACCACAGTTTAACAGATTATGTGGTGTAGATTGGAATGTGAAATTTACTTTCTTACAGTATGATGTGACAAATGTGCAAAAGAAGAGAATAATTTCTGTTAAACTTAAAAGAACAAAACTTTTGCACTGTCACAATTAAATATAGCTCCTAATGAACATATCTGGTGTTCCCTCTGATTAGACTTGTTTCAGGTTGCGTTCTGGTGTAACAACATGTCTCTCTCACTTTTACATCGTATGACACTGTGCAATCCAAAGTATCTAAATGATGTTAATAAACCAAAATGAAACAACAATGTGGTATTTTGTTGCTCCACTAACAGACACTGAGAGAGGCTGGTAGCGCTACTCTGTGCTGTTATTACTAACCTGTATTCATTTCCATGCTTTTGTTAATATTGTCCAGTTGTGTGTGCGCAGCAGCTGCTACCTCTTCACTGACATATTCAAGGTCACCTCCGTTCACGATCTCCTTCTGTAACATGCAGAAAGAAACATGACATTTTCTATACACCCTTCAAATTGCATCTTCAAAGAAGAACTTCCACAAGAGGGCAATATATTTCCTTTAGTTGCATGTCTGTCTGGTTGACAAACTCAGTTCTTAGCTTCTACTGACCAACTGTGTAATCTTTTCCTCAATGACCTCTTTGATCTTGATGTGGTGTGTCCGGTAATGATTGCAGAGCTTCTCTGAAACAGTGGTTTTACCCACAGATGGAGGTCCAACCAGGCAGATTCTGATGGGCTACAAAAATGGAAAAAAAGGAAAATCTGGTTCACGAATGAATCATGGCAGCTGGTTATCATCTGGTATCAAAATTGCCCTTTACACCCGAAATACCCCACCAGGGTTTAATGTTGTCGCTGATTTTACTGGAACATTGAGTCCAGGCATACTGTAGATCAGAGTAACAGAGATTCTTTAAATATATACTAAAAATATTTCCTGCTATCTGTACATAACAAAACAATGAGATCTCTTGAACACTCTTGCCCTTCAGTGTTGCTGAACACATTTTCCAGTGTATCAAGTGGCAGCCTTTTAAGCCTTGTGTATATCTAGTACTAATAAGAGTCAAAAACAAATATAGTTCCCCTCATCTGAATGACTTGAACACTCACAAGTAACTGCCTGGTGTCTTTGTATTCCTCCACAATGCTTTCCATGTTCTCAATCATCCCAGATTCAGACGTCCATCGGAGGCTGAAGGAGTCTTTTATAGTTAAAGCGTCCAGTTGGAGGTTGATACTTAGGTACTCCAGCTCCTCTGGCTGAAATGACAAACACAAGCTTCAAGTACTAAGAGCACAATTTTCTTTTATACTGAATAGTCACAAACAATATTTGCAAATATAAAAAAATTGTCGAGCAAAGGGAAAGGATTGAGCAGATTTTCATGACATGCATAAACCACAGCTGGTAGTTTATTTGAGCCTGTATCAATAACCACTGCAACTACTGTAGAAAACACTCAGATACTAATTCAAATCTGTTTCTTTACCCAGTTTTAGATTTATATTAGTGACCATAACCAACTCTCACCCAGAGACAGAAGTTAGAGAAAAACTGACTATTGAGCCTGTGTCATAACTGTGGACATAAATCTGATCCTGCTTTAACTGTGTCAGATAGTAAACATTTTTAAGGCGTAAAGCAACAGTTTTAATCTTTAACTGATAATAATTCTAGATATACTTATTGCTAAAACATGGTCAAGTATTTCAATTGAAAAAAAGAGTGTGCAAAAGTGGCCTTCCAGCCATTTTCCATGGAGCATTTGTTCCATATTTAACTGAATAATTAGCTATCACAGTCACAAATATTAACTGGGCATGTAAAAAACAAACTTGTGAATGGAGATGAAGGAGATAATGAACAGCAATAATCCAGACTAGAATATAACTTTCTTAACAAAAGAAAAAAATGACATGCTTTACCTTAAAAGCCCTCATGGTGATGGCTTCCTGCTCTGGTACTTTGTCGATTTTTCCTGGCCCCAGTGTATCACTTATCATCTAGTTAAGAGTCAAGAGAGAGATTTTTGTATCATTTTTGAACCTTTTTATCTTTTCTTGTCGGGTCCAAAGCAGGATTCAAATTAGTCTCGAAGCAGTGGGTCACCAAAACCCACTTACTGTACATGATGTACATGCCACACTCTTGTTTATAGAAAGGTTACCTTCACAATATCCTCCAAAGTGTTCTTGGAATCATCAACAGCAAGGATGTACTTAGACTTTGGCCTGAGTTCAGTGATGTTTTGGATCACTCTGAAAAAGGAACAGCCAGTTAAGCTATATATATATATATATATACTGTATATATATATATATGTTTGCATTTTGTCATTATAGGGTATTGAGTGTAGCTTGGTGAGGGGGAGAATGAATTTAAACGATTTTAGCATAAGACTGCAACATAACAAAATGTGAAAAAAGTGAAGCAGTCTGAATACTTTCTGAAAAACAGTTAATAAAAAATTACCCTGCAAGGTCATATACATGAATCATGGGGATGCTATTTGTGCCCTGTCCAAATACAGGAACTTTTGGAAACTGCATCAACCAAGACACCTGTTAAAAATAATGACATTGTAAATTGTGCAGTACAAACAGAAACATATAGTATATTGTGTAACATATTATCATTATTATTATTATTATTATTATTATTATTATGTTCATATCTACCTTGAAAAAGTAGTGAAAGAGGTTCTCTCCCTTTCCATACTGAAGACCACTAGCAACAACATAACCAGTAAATTTGGACTTTTTCTGTAAAATAGTGAAATCAGAGTCAACAGTTGAATCAATGTGGGTCACAAACATTTTCCAGTCTTTGTCTATTTACAGGTAAACTTTTAAACTTTAAATATTCATGGCGCTCAACAGTTAAATATAGATAATTATGAAACTAAGACTGCACTAATTTTAGTGCAGTCTTAGTTTCTCTATGATGCCATAAATCGCTACTATTGTGTTGAAATATCTTTTTGGAGGACACTGACATTTTCAGCACCATAATTGACTTACCCCTCTACCCAATTTGAGCACAAGTTTCTCCAGATTGTTGTGGTTTTTGAAAGTGGGATGAGGCCTTCTTCTTCTGAACTCATCTTCTGTTAGCAGAACATCTGTTTCCTCCTGAACAGAGAGAAATTATTCATACACTGGTTGTTTTTACAGACAGAACAAGACAAAAGCTTGCTTTAATTTTCTTCAGGCTCACCAAACTCTGTGGCTTGGACATGGCCCAGGTCATCACTGTCGAGACTAAGATGAACATTTTCCGAGACTTGAAGTTTTCCAACTCAGCATGAAGAGCTGTTTGTAAAAAACAGGGGGGGGGGGGGGGGTTACAGGCATAACAAAGCAAACCGAATCAATCCTACATTTTAGCCACATTATTGGATTATATGGGGTTATACAATTTCTTTTAACTGTAAGAGACCAAGTTATAATAGAGCCATTCCACCAAATAATAAGACTACCTTAGTCCTTTACCTGTGATTGCCCATGTTGCCTCTTCAACCAGCTGTTGTGTTGCATTTTCTGAGATGTTGTACACCACCACATCACACTCCAGCAGGCGCTCAAGGAGCTCATCTCGAGTGGGTGACTACCAAAGAAGATGTCTTTTAATTGTATCATCCCGAAATTAACATAATTTTGAGCTGTTAAAGTTCCTGTTTGCAGTTGTAGTATATGTACAAGTATTCAGATCCCATACTTCAGAAAAGATAATATTGTGACAGTATAAAAAAAAAAATAGGCATAATACATTTCAAGTTAAAGTCCTGCATTCAAATTTACTAAAGTAAAATATAGTCAAGAATTCAAAAGTAAAAGTACTCACTCTGTAGAATGGTCTTTAAACAATCTTACTGTATGTTACATATTTTAGGATTAGATTACTAATGCCTAACTAAAGCAGCATTTTAATAGTGTGTTTGGATCCAGTTTAACTACATTATACAGTATACTGCTGGATAATTCAATCTATAGTAATAAAATCATACTGTACAACCTGATCATATGCTTTGTATGAAGAAATAAATTGTGAAATATACAATGTTTGGTTTTTAAATGAGGTGGAGTATAAGTATAAAGAAACATCAAATGGTAACAGTAACTCAAGTACTGGACTTGAGTTACTGGCCACTGGCTTGAAGCACCAAATGTGTGTATACAAACAGAAGAATTGCAGTGTTTTATACCTTTTACTTAATGACTCACTGTATATTGTTCCAGTAGAAAGGCTGCCGTCTCATCGTTGGGCGAAGATACAGTTCCCACTATCTGGAAAGCAGGTTCACCTCGAGTGCCCTCTGCCTCGTCATCCTCTGAGGTCTCCCCGGCTACGCATGTCGATAAAAACTGTTGAAGCAGGTCAGACAAATTACTGTAAACTGGCTAATGAGAGGTCATCTACATATAGCACAAACTTATTTTACTATACCTTAGCGATGTGCTTGGAGGAATACCTGTCGACGTCACTGATAAAAATACGTTTGGGACGAGTCCGTTGCTTTATGTCCCCCATTTTAAAAATGCTATGCGCTCTTGTAGTGCTAACAAGGTTAACTTTATTAGTTAAAGATGTATGTTAGCGTTTTTACTAGTAGTCTAGCTGCATTGTTGACAAAAAGAACTTGCCCGTTGCTGTGGACTCACTCGGTTGCTATGGCTCAGCCAATAGAATGCTTTGAAACGTTCCGTTACGTCTTCCGTTCATATTGGTTGCACTGCTGTAAACAATAGTTGGATTAGTTTGAGCTTTCATAAATTATATATGTAGCCATGGTTCAGTTACACAGTTAAGTACAGGAACACTTTATGTAAATTTTTCTGCTGAAACATTAGGGTCTATGATGTGATGTTCCCAAAACCGCCAACACACTACTTCCAGCCTACCATCTAATACCTTCTAAATCAATATTCCCATGATGTAGAGGCTTAAGCGATATAGGCCTATATCTCTTGTACTTTTTTTGTATATGGTGTTACAATAAGATTCCTCTAATACTACTGCAATTATAATGTAATGTCCTCTTACACAGGGATAACTCATACAAACCACACACACCTATGGGTCTGTAGAACCCCTCATGACACAGAACAATGGAGCACTGACATGGAAACTTTCAAAGCGCCCCATATATTTATAGAGCTGACATTATCTGAGAAACTGCTCGCAGTACTTGACATTGTCTGCTTCACACAGGTCCCAGCAATCAGTGAAACACACCCTGATATTCACAGCAGAGTGATACCAGAGAGCTGCTCCATGGATGATTGTTTGGTTCTTGCCATGTATAGTAAACCCCTAAATTTAAATTAACCTGTTGTTTTTCAATCAGTGTGCTTCATTCAGCCAACTGTTGCAACTCTTGCAATTCCTGAAATATCATGGAATAGTGAGAGGTCTGTTCCAAACTAAGAAAGTTAAGGTATTTGACCAGTCTTCTCAAAAAAGTCAGGGAATATGTGTGAATTAAAAAATTCTCAAATTGAGCCTGGCTAATAAATTTGCCGACATCACCCATGTTAATTTATCAGAGATTTACTGTATTGTCACATATAGTATGTCAGCCAGAATGTCCCACTTAATACATTTCTGGGTCACAATTCTTTAATTACCTAATTTAAAGGATCCTTATCAAACATATTTCTTTTGTTTTGCATTTTTGCTATGTTTGTTACGTTTTCAATATCTGGTCTCAAAAAGTCAGTATTAGTCATGTTCTTATAATAATAACATTCTTAGGTGATGGTAACATTTGAATTTGTCATGGAACTTCATATCTCTGCTGTCACATCCTATCTTCTCTCTCAACCTCATGCGTAAACGTTAAGAAAATAGCTCCTGATGTGATTGCCCTGATTAACATGTCTTCCAACATGTAGTTCCTCGAACACTGCAGAGCCATCAGCTGTTTACAGCTGGCATGTGGCACATTATGATAACGGCTGTTGGTGCCAGGGCAGTGTTGCGGAACCAAGAATAGGATATTGTTCATTGTCAGGGGCTGTTTTCCTTAATTCACTCCTCTGCAGTGCCAAAGTTTTGGTATCAGTTATCATCCACTGTTGTCATTTTTGGACTCATTTCATTTTCTTAATTTACAAAATTACAATGTAGCTGCTAGCTGTTAAAAACATACAAACATAATCCACTATGGCAGTATAACTGTGACCTGTTCTTTATCTACATAAATTATTTGCAACATGATGACTTTCTGTTCTATACATGAAGTCAGATTAATATTTGAGCATGTGGTCAGTTATGATTGAATATTGTATGTACACCTGCCACTGTAGGAATAGTGGTTAAATTACCATAGAAAATTATAAACTTGAACAGGTGCGCTGCAGTACTTAAACAAATAGCACTTACACCCCTGGATATATTATTTGCTTTGGTTTAAATACAAATAATCCAATTTTATTTGAAATTTAATTTCTTCAGCTTTTGCACAAAGTTGGAAACAAGGGTCATTCAGGCACAGATGTTATGTACCTTCTTTATAGAAATTGTGGCAGAAGATGCACCAGCTTGTTTTTCTTGTGCACTTCTTTCTTTCATGCAACTTCAACCTTATGCTTCTGCAAAAACATGTCCTGCAAATGGTAAACAAGACTCTGTCTAAGGTGGACTGACTGTAAAGAAGCAGTTGTTGCTAACAGCTGCTGAAGTGTGTGCATGTGTGTGTGTTGGAGGGGGCGAGGGGGGATGGAGAGGGGGCAGCTGTCAAGACAGACAAACCGTGTGCTTCCTACATGCCCTTATAAGGATGAATGTCCCTCAAAACCATGACCCATTTAAGACCAATCTGCTTTATCCTGATAAAGACCTGGTGATAAAGATAGCACTCTGCCAAAAAGTGATTCTTTGGCTTGAAGGGAGCTGTTGACAAAACACAGCACCAGCTTCACCCAAAAACTAACGGGATGTCCCTGCCTCATACTTTATGCTCCACAATGTGCAGAGGTTGTACTTTTACTGAACGTGGCCACAATTTCAACACTTATCGAGTTAATTAGTTCAATGGTGTAAATCCCACCAAACTTGGTAGGTGAATGGTGTGAAAATTTTAGGATTCAAAGCATCACCAAGTAAGGTAAAAATCAATAATTCAAGCTGTAATGACAAGGAAGTGAGGATGATGATTATGTGTCTGTGGCCTGTATGGACTGTTGCTGCAGAGCGTCCAAGGCCAGAGGAAACCTGAAGGACTGTGTTCACTCACTATCTCTACTGCTGCTTTACAAAAGTATATAGAAGCTCTACTGTGGTCAGAAGAACAACAGTGAGTTCAGACCGCCTAACATCAGCACAGGTTTGTCACATGCCCATTTTTCTTGCTCTCACTGGGTTGATCATACAGACTTCTGTTTGGCAGAGATCACTGGACATATATTTTACCCTCTTTTTAATATCTAAAACCCTTAAAGGATAGATTAGATAGAAATTAGATTTGAAAATGGTTCCTTCTGGCAATGCTGAAAGAGATTCAGTCCCTTTTCTGTGCAAAAGCCTCAGAAAGTTTAGGCAATCTTTAGCTGTCTGAGTTAGAAAGATTACAATCTTTTTAGCATGAAATTTCCAGTTTGTATCAGATTACTATTCCTCTTCATTAGGTCAGCAAGGAAACATTGGAAACAATAATGCTATGAAAGATTATAAAATGACTAAGAGACATGATTTGAAGGTAACTCAGGTCTCTGTTATGTAAAGGCTTGGAATAGAAACAGACAAGTAGGTTAGTAGCGTCTCTCTCTGAGGTACATTACAGCACATGGCTACAAATGGAATATTTCAAAGTGTTGATGGTGTTGGGGGGTATTTACATTCTCACTGCACTCACAGTGACCTGATAGGGCTCCAGCATGGGGATGTAGGTGCTGTGGGGGCAGTGCAAGGTGACGAATAAGGAGCCTGAGCTCTCGTCATCCTACCCTCAGTCTGCAGCGACACGCAGCCACTGGCACCTGTTACACTCCATTTCCCTAAAAGGAGACACTGGAGCCAATCAGAGCTGAGAACGGTCGCTCGTCGCTCCCTGCACAGGCTGTCCCGGGGATCTGTCGTCTGCTGGAGGTCTGGGCACTGGCCTTAGCTCCCTCCCACCCCCTTTTTACAACGTTGCGTCTCAGCTGTCTCATGCCACGACACTGGCAGGTTCCCCTTAGACGGCTCCTTAATCAGATTGCTCAGACAAGATCTCAGATTACCATCCTACCGTGTGATCACCCACATCCCCAGTGCCCTGTTTGAGCTTAGTCATATTAACTCATCCTTAGGGACTTGAAGGGCAGCTCCACGAAGTATGAGTGGAAGAAAGATGCTGCTATGTATGAAGCAGGAATCTAAACTTATAATTGATGATATTGCAGTATAGGGTTTCCATAACTGTCCCAAACTCTCTGTAGCTTTGAATTCAAAGGGCATAAGTTGCTTTAAAGGTCATAAGTTTATTGTTGTTGATTCACATGAATCATTTGACAACTAATATACCATTAACATACTGTAGTCTAGTGATTTGGCATGTAAAATACAATTAAGATGAAGCATTTTAAAGCACAAACCATGTATGTGTGTCTAAAGTCAATATTGCAACTTGAAGATATTATTAAGCTCCTGGATCAATTAAATTAACATCAAACTGTAAACATGTTTGTCACTTATAACACATTTCACAATCCTTTTTTCATTCATCCAAGCAAAAGTCTTCATAAAACTTCCCATTTCTGTCTGTTACCTTTCATCTCCAAGGCAACTTTTCTCCAGTTTGGTGGTGTCCCCTGACACAGGATCCACTTTACTGAACCATTTTGCTGAGCAGCACTTAATTTGGGCTTGTGTGAACTCCTGGGCCCGCCCACCAGCCCCCAGCCTCAGGACACCGGGACATATTTAAGAACCCCCTCGCACCCTCGCCCTTTGTCCCAGTGGAAATTCCAGTCTTGCGGTTACAACTTGGTGAGTTCCTCTGCAGTGCTTGTGCTTGTCTGCGTTTCGGCCATTGGTTTGTGGTGCTCAGGGAATAGGGAGGATGAGTAGATGCTGCTGCTGCTGCTGCTGTAGGACATATCACTGCTGCAACGTGGATTTATTTTCTTCACAGTTTGGAGTTGGTTGTGTTTCTGTGATCAGAGTAGGTGATATGTTGTTGTGAGAAGGATGAAATCTGAGCGTAAGAGAGGGAGAAAAGTGGTACTTGGTGGTGTTGAACTGTTCAGACTATTGCATTATATGGATATGTCATCTGGGTCCATTAACAGTGACCTATACTACACAGATTAGGACATAGTCTTTGGGGGTGCGAGGATGCTTACTGTGGAATGGCAGCAACGTAGCTCTAAACCAGGTTAGATACAACCTGAGGAAGCTTATGTAAATTAAAGGCCAATACCAATACAGATAGATACATTTGACAATTTAAATACCAAGAACAAACACTTGACAAGATGATTTGCTTGGCAGGGATGAAAACCCTCTGCAGAAGCATTTATAGCACTGAGGAAAGCCAAGATGCTGAAACTAATGAAAGCCGATCTTGGTCAGGAGACTCTTGAGAAAGAAGATTTTTAATCTCATTGAGCTTTTCCTGATTAA